ACCAAATTGTAATCGGAGGTGGTTACCAAAAGTCCTAGAACATATGGAGTACATTCCCATTACGGCGAGAAAATCCTGATGACATCAATGGAAAGTGTAAAATCAGGATAGAAGAGGTGGATAATATAGGACTCAGGGCACAAAGGAGTAGTTCTTTGAAGTCATGAGATACAGGAGCAGGGACAGGAACTTAGAAGAAGAAGAGTGGATGAGACATATGATGGGAGGCAACCGATATAGATTAGGTCATCCAAACAGAATTGGCTTTACATGGACAGGATTAGAATGCAGGAGAAGAGTTAATAGCGGTCATGGTAGGAGGTAGAAGCAGTAGAGATTCTCCAGAGGCAATGCGGGTGTGGCTGGATGGCCAGGACACCAGGCAGGAGGTCTATGGATGTCCAGATAGCAGCTGGAAGTAGTAAGGGCATCAGGATGCCAGGCAGGAGTAGTAGTAGGGGTATCGGGATGCTAGCAGGAAAAGGGAATAGATTATCAGAACCCCCAGAACCGAGCTAGCAAGGGGTTACAATGCAGGGGGATTGGAGTACAGCGCATCTGGTAAGCATCAGGATGCAGGAGAATGTGAATGCAAGCATCAGGACGTAACAACTGATTCAGCCAACATCCTGATTAACAGTTTGCGTCCTGTATACCCTGTGCATCAGACGCACAGGACACACAGGACACAAGAATAAATTTTCGCTAATGTAGCTACATTGCAAAGTCAATAACATATTAAGAAGTCTCACAATAGAGCTAATCACTCCAATCAGATAAAGGAGGATGATAAGTTGACTCAGGTTAAAATAACTCATATAATCTAAATCTCTTTAATAAAGAAATCATGTGCTTTTACTAAAAAGAGTTCAAAAAGCCCTCATGGAAATATGATGTAATGGGAAGGGGTCTGCGAGTTTAGGCAGACCAAGGCATACTACTATTGAAGGATGTCTGGGTAGGAGGAGGCTGGGTACAGCCATATTATATAAACAAATATTGTTTGTATGATACTAGATGGAGAGATTTAGGGGTCTAGGGGCCCAGGAGTTCAGGGTCCAGGTTCAGGAGTTTAGGTCTCATGTAACCAAGAGAGAAAGAGAAGTGTATTTTCTAGCTACAAGTGTACAAATTCAACCACGGTCTTATTTATACTAACTATCTCCAATCTAGCATATGAGCAAGTCCTATCCTAGCAACAAGTTAATATAAGATGAGCCATCTTACAACTTGAACTAAATACGAGATACTGAAACCTCCAAACCCAAATCTTCCTGACTAGTTAGTAATACCAAGAAACACTACAAGCAAACATCTCTGCGAGCAAGCAACATATGAAAGCTAAGTATAGTTCTGGAAGGCTAGCTACTAAACCAGTTTTCACACAAAAAGTGACAATTTTTCCTGTGATGGCAACTGTAACGCCTCTAAAATATGCTACCCTCCCTTACTAAACCTAAAACCCTGACACTTAAATCCATAAAAGCTTACTTGTGTTAAGAATCCTACCGGGTAGGACCTAGCGACAGGTAACAATACTTCTCTGTGAGGTGATAGTTCTCAGGCCTATGCCTACGCGATCCCAATAGTCCAGTCCTATGACTACTATCGTACTCGCGCCTATCTCCTTACTCTTCTTCTTAGTCCTTACTCAGGACTTAATCGTACGACGTGGGAGGAGAAATAGTTTTCTCGTTTGAGAGGAAAGACAATTCTTGGGTTTCTTAAGATAAATCTTAAAGAGCGTGAAGGTAGGTTTTATTGATAATAACTTAAAGGTAGGAAATAAACAAGAAGAACGTGTGAAGAGCTAATACTAGGGGTCCTAGTGACCCTTTATATAGTAGCTCTTCACCTGGCGTGACTCATACTTATGTGTCATGCGGCCCTTGTGACTCATAACTATGAGTCACACGAAATCCATCAGCCGACTCTTATGAGTCACTGCGCAACATGCCTAAACCTAATCAAAACCTTAATAACTATTTCAGGTGCGCAACTCGCGTCACCTGAGTGAAACCCATGACTCATAACTTGAGTCATGTGCGAAAATCATAACATTGTGTGACTCACAACTGTGAGTCACCAACAGGTAAACATAATAACCTATGGCGCACTAGTGTACGTCATGTGAAATCCCTACATACCTATAGCTTGGAAATCCGAGCTATGTAAAATCTGGCTTGCTTAGTCGTAGTTTGTGACAACTTGCTATTTACAATATTACTATAAAAATTAATAAGATTAATGGGATGTTAAATTATATGTTTATCCTGTGAGAATACATATTTTTATCATTCTCTAACTTTTTTAATAGTCTCTACTATTATAAAATTCTGCTCACTTACATATATCATACTAGAATGATATCTTGTTATTATATTCTCCATAACCTACTTTGATAGACTTGGAGAGCTGGTTTTAGAATTTAAGATTCAATAAATTCAAAGGTTAGGGTTTTGGATTTAATAAGGAATGGTTGTATATTTCAAAGGCATTACAGTTGCCGTTGCAGGAAAGATTGTCATACTTTTTGTGTGAAAACTAATTTAGTGGCTAGCCTTCTGAAACCGTACAAGTCTATCAATAGCCCAGCATATACCTGCCCTACCTAGTAGCCAGGCCATCGTAATCCCAACCAAACAAATAAAACACTACCACTAGCAGCACCACTCTAGCCTTACAATCTATATCCAAAGATGTAATCATGAACAAAAGAAATCCTCCCCCCAAAACCCACCAGTAATCCATGCAAGCATTCATATTACAGAGAGAACAAGTGCTATAACACTCCCTCATCAACCAGTTTCCCAAACCCCTTCCCATAATAGCCAACCTTGAAGTTCTTATCCTTAATTCTTCTAATCAAGGTGGGTAGTAATCCCTATATATACAGAAGTGTATCTTTTGTATAACTAAGAGAAATATAGGGAAGATATAAGTACAAACATAAGTGCAAACATGTTTGACCTTGAGAATCTACCAAGGAAATCGTATAAAACATGTGTATATCTGAGGTAGTTTAAGGAAAATATTAAGGTATTGCAAAGCAAATGACCAATAAATATGTATAAGAGATGCATAAAATGTAAGAAATAATCCTGAACATCTAATAAGAAAACACATGTAAATCCTCAATTGTATCATAAAACTTGAATATTAAATAAAATATAGGTAATACATACTCTAGCTACAGTAATGTTTGTAGTTTAGAAGTAACACCAAGTAGAGGAATATACAATATTATCAATGAGAATATACATATGATACAAATTAGAAATTTTCAATACCTCCTTGCATCCTGATTCAAGTTAACAGTTTGTATCCTGCATATCCTGTATATCTGATATATAAGATATACTAGTACAAGATGTAAGCTTTTCTTTTTACTAATATAAGTTATGTCTAAATGTAGGGTAGGTATCATACATCTGATGCTGAACTTATTTTTCCTGATACACATTAAAGAGAATATCTGATAATCAGATTATCTCTTTCAAGATAAATGTTTAGTAGTATATAATAAATAAAGTAAAACTTTGTTCTAAGAGCTCTGGTACCAGCACCTTAGAATCAACTCTGAGTCTTACAATAACTAAACTTTCTTAATCTTTCAGTAGGCAATAATAATATCACATTTTAGTAATTTACTTATTACTTCTGTATTGTTCTCCACATTTACAAAGTAGATTTAGTCTGAAAAGTATGGTTCTTTCTATGATAGCTATTAAAATTAAGGCAAAATTTGAGTTGAACAAGAAGGCTGGTACTTGTATGAGAAAACAAGGTTTTTGCTAGGTAATACATGACATATTGACTAAAGAAGTGTGGTCAGATACTACATTTGTATATACCAAATTCTTTTTACAAGAAATAAAGGATTTGCTATAGTAACTTGTAAGAAGAAATAGAGCAGATGATAGGATACAAGAGACCTTTAAACTAGATCGGAGAAGTTTATTTAGGATTGCACTTTCAATTTAAAATACTAGTCAGAGTACTTCCCCCAGCCCCGATGCTCCAGCACGCTTTATCGACCGATCATTCGCAAACCCACCTGCCCTGGGCCAGTAGCGTGGCTCGGCTGCTAGATGTTATTATTCTCTATTCTTGCCCCTTGCCCTTTGTGCCTTTGATAGTGGTGTGTGAGCCGGTACGCTATTTGTGACGGGCCCGCTCATGCGTCCATATATAGCTGGCACACCTTCCGTCCGTTAGGGCCTACCGGGTTATTTTCACATTACCATCACCACCTCTTTCTAAGTAGATTTCCACTGACTCGTGAGTAACAATAGGTGATCCTATAATATACGGAATTTACCAAACACAATTACCGGGAGTCGGGGCCATCTGCCAAAGATACGCACAACAGCTAGTCGGAATGGTGAAAGATCGCACAGAACCGCATCAGGGTAGAATTCAGGATATCCGCACCTCCTTGGGTCTTGTGGTGAACGGAAGTTTTAGCGGGACAGCCGTCCAGGAAGCTCTGGGCTCAATACGAATTCACGAATACGGCAAAATCTGCAAGGGAAGCAACCTTATCATCAATAGCATATCGATAAGGAGGCATCTGAACAAAACCCCTACCAGAACCGAATGCTCGTTCCCAATGTATGACCATTAGTATCCAAATTACCCTCCTCTAACAGCACTTACTATAGGAGTTTGTTTTTTTGGGCTACCGCCCATAAATCAAAGGCCTCTAGGAACCATGACTATTGGCAGTACCGGGATGTTATAAGAAGTAAGTACAATGTGGCGGATCGGTTCCTTGAGTATAGATAAAGGGTCGCGGAGGTGCTTTGGTTTTAGCAAATAAGCGAACTATTACGGGTCCGCGCCTAATTATTCTGCAACGCTAGGGACCTGCTAAAGCGATTCCGATAAGCGGGTACACCCTTCAAGATTATCTAAGGCTAACATGAGGCTCTGCGTGGCAGAATGTCTGAAAAAAATTTGTCGCCGCAAGCCTCCATAACCCGATTTTTCTCACACCCATCGCAACCTGTTCTTAACGAAACCGGGAATCGCTGCCCTTCCCATACTCGCTTGCTGGCTGAGAAGGGCTTACCCGATACTACCACGAAGTCTGGTAGGCTTACGATTATTTGCGCTCTTCTTACGTTGATTGCGACTCCAGCATCGCCGGTACCGTGTCAGTTGATTATAGGAATTTGAGGATCCGAGGACCAATTTGGTTTTCCCACAAGAAAATAAAATAAAATCAGGTTACCATACGCACCTACAGGCTCAATAGACTTCGGGCTTTGATACAGTCTTTCAGGAGGAGAGAATCTTTTTGATTTTTTTTTTCCCCGAGTTGTGATTCTCTCCACGCGAGGTTGGCTGGTTCACGGTCCTGCTGCGAGTTGAGTGCGAGTTCTATAGGTACTACTGGAAAGGCTCCTGTCCGAACTGATGACCACCCGTTATTTTCTCCCCTACCTGTACAACCATCCACTCTTTACGCATCAAACTGGCAAAATAGCTGTTTATAAAGTTCTTTTACCAGCTGCATTAGAGCAACACCAGACCCCGATTCTCTATCAGCTTCATAAATCAGACTGATCTTTCTCTGAACGGCAAAAAAAAATACAGTTAACGACTGCCCTGCTACATTAAGCCGCCTTTGCAAAGCTCTACTTGATTGAGTGCTGTCCGCTGCAAGAAGGCCTCTTGACCCTAATTTCACCTCACCAACCATAAACCCGATATTATCTTGAGCCTTTGGGTCCTTCAGGTCTTGGGTCATCAATCACAATTATGGCCCGCCCGGTTTGCTCTAAACCCATTTCCCGGGGGAATGGGCCCGAGAAAATCTATCCTCTATCCACGTCCTCCTTTCACTCTTCCGCTTCTAATCCAAAACCTCAACATCCATATCAACCCACGCTTTCTTCCCACACACCACCTCCAATGGACACCCTGCCTCTACCGCCTATAAAGTTCATCAGAACACAAACCACTTCGGTGGCCTTTACAGAAGATCAAACTATATCCAGATTTGGATATTTTAGCGGAAAAAAGAGGAGGAAAGGAAACCCGCCCTCATCAAATGGCAAAGCCTCTAAAAAAGTTAGGAGAGATAGTCCTGCCAAAAATTTCAATGATGAACGCCTTAGGGGAGACAAACTCCTTAAGCAGTCCCAGCCCGTGCGCTTAGGAGTTGCAGCAGAAGACTCAATTGGGGAGTCCTCGTCCAGAATTTCAGCGAGTAAGGTAAAGTCTGCTTTTACAAATATTTTCAGTACCCGGTGAAGTTCTAACATCCGACAAATAAAGCAGCCTTCCTCCCAAAGACCTGGTATCTCATTAATAGAGAAACCAAATAAGTCAGACAAGGAGTCGGCCGCTGTAGCCGCAACAAAGTTAAAGGCTAATCAGGCAATTTTTACAGAGTCAGGTCCAGTTTTCTCAGGGGAAAACAGGGAGAAAAATGGACCCAACGAGGTACCATACCCCCCAAATTTAGGCCCTTACAAAGGCCCATACATAAAGTCAACTGCCTTTACACCTGATAGCACCACAGTGCTAGTTGGTACCTTGAAGTTTATTATTCGTACAAGTTTCATAACTAATTATTTATTTATCTCGCAATAGTTATTATCGCCGAGAAAGACCAAACCGGAATTGGGTTCTACTGTTAAGAGCCAATTCGAAGGTCCAAATATCAACGCCGGCTCAATCGCTACCGCTTCCGGAAAGACTGTAGTTTCGGTTCTCACCTCCTCAATTCATTTAAAACTTGACAGCTCTACTAACTAATTACTCGTTTAGGGGAAGTCCGTTCTGGGTACAAAACCGGGGGACTTATCTAAAGAATCTCCTAAGAGGCCCAATAAGGATCTGCGTGTTAAAGGCCTGAAGAATCCCTCATATTTTTGCTATCGGAATTCGGTCCTACAGCTCTTCTCTTCTAGTACAATCTTCGTTGAAGAGATATCTGAACATATAAAGAGAAAATGTAAGCACCCAACTCTTATATCACCTCTCTAAACAATACCCAAAGAATATCTAACCAGTCCAAGATCACTGTGGTCCTAATTGTACATCCTGTGCACTTGGAAAATTCTTCGAAAATCACTTCAGGCCCGCTAGAGGGGAGCAGACTCTGAATAAAAGTCTACCAGTAGTGAGCCGACTTCGTGACGGTAAGTGTTTTGCACCCCCAAACTACAAGAAAGAATGCTAACTCCTCAATAAAGTTCTTCCCGAACCATTCGGATATAATCAATGTAATCAAGAGGATGCATCCGAATACATGCTTGCTTTACTCAACAAGGGGGTGGACCAGCTCAAGAGGTATTTATTTCACCACTCAACAGTCGCTGTTATTATTAAGTATAATAACGCCATCAGCGCTCCAAACCATACAAATTCGGAAAATCACATCGACCGCGTATTCGGCGCAAAGTACGATTCCGTTCTTACTTGTCCTATCTGCGACAATAGGTCGGTTACTCCCGAGTACCAGCTGAACCTTCAGCTAGCGATAAAAGTGGCCCCTAAGGCGCCGATAAACCTTAATGCCTGCTTTGCAAACAATTTTTCAGAGGAGTACGTTGAGGCTTCTTGCGACAAATGTGGGCACAAGACAGGGCCTTCAAGGAAATCGAAACGGTTTGTCAAGAAGACAGAGATTAGGAAGCTTCCAAAATTTCTTGTTATTACTCTTTCAAGATACAAGATAGGAAGGCGGGTTCAGACTAAGATTATGAACTCTGTAAAACTGGAGGAGAAACTAGTTCTGAGAGAAGGTAACAAACTTGTAACCTACGAGCTCAAAGGTATGATCTGCCACCAGGGCGCGCAGGTCAGGTCTGGTCACTACATTGCGTTTACCAAGCAACCCGATAGGACCTGGGCCAAGTGTGATGATGCCTGGGTAGGTCCACCTTAGAATACCTTAATACTTTGTGTAGAAACGCTAACTCGGTTTTAATAGATAACGAAGAGCAACTTGGAGAATATAAAGCTCCACCAGAAGGTTTTTCAAATATATATGCTAGGGTATGAGCAAGTTACTTGTTAATTAGTGGGGTATTTGTTTGTTTGTTTTTCCTTGTTTTCACTTTTTTAAATAAGTCAAGGAGCTGTTTTTACCCCCTTTCTTTCCTTCTTTTTTCTTTTTCTTTTTTTTTTTTTTCATAAAAGCAACGTCCGCTACAAAACTATGGTTGTGGAAGGTGCTTCTTGTTACAAAACTTTATTTGAGCCCACATGCCCAGTTTTTTACGCTAAAGCCTGCCTGCAGCCACGCGGTGTCAGATCTCTTGGCGATCTGGCTTGGGTCGGGATTAAGCTTATTTGAACTCCCTGGCCGACAGGTCCCTTTATCTTTCCGTTAAAGAGGGATCCGAGCTAGCTGTCAAGTGCAACCGAGCCAACGAGAGGCTCAAACAGCCAAACCTTAAGCAGACAGCGAAAGTCAACCCAGCAGGCCTCACCTTATTCCAATCTATATTTTTTTTTATGTATATATATTGTGGCATACCTTTCAGTACCAGATTCTCATTTCGGTATAGGACTATGACCTATGTAATGTGCGTATGGTACAGTACAGTGCGGTATCACAGTCGAGTACCAGAATCAAACCGTTAAAATCTCCAAACACCATAGGCAAGTTTGTGTGCTTCCGAATTCCCAATCTGTAAAGGTGGGGAGGAGCAAGGGGGAAATGTTCGCCGCCGCCGCCGCTTTGTGATTTAGTTTTATTCCATTTCTCCCTTCTAATCCGGCTTTTGATGGGAGTGGTATGATATTGTATGGTTCTCTATAGCGTAGCGGTGTAAATGACATAGCAGAGGGTAAGGGAGTGTTCCAATCTCTATAGAAAAAGAAAAAGAAAAAGGTCCCAACAAAGGGGTTACCGTATCTTGACTAATAGTTCAAGATCTCACTTGAAGGTTATTCGATTAAATGTCCTGAGAAAGGGCGGGAAAGGGTTTTCATCATTTTCATAGTGATAGTGCAAGTCTGATCCTTTGGCGAGCGGTTCCACGGCGGGTAGTTATGATACAGCAGGTGCTCTGCACGCCCGACATGTATTCTATCATACTTCTCTGAGATATTGACCTCTCGGTTCCCCCATCTAGCCAGGTAGGAATATGTTAGCTGAAACAGGGCGGTAAAAAAAAAAAAGGGGGGGGGGGGGTGGGTTGTAGTTTCTATTTACCTACAAAAATCAGAATCTATCATGGTATCATACCTGCGTGCATCCAACTTGGCAAACACTCTCTCTCCCTCACTCTTCTCTATTTTTATTTTTTATATATATCATAGTAGCAGCACCACCGCAGTTCACTAAAAGGAAATCACAACCCATTCAGACTCTCGTGCAGTGCAGTATGTGAACGCAATACAATATCGTACTACTTTTTTTCTAAAAAAAAAAAAAATGATAACCAACAACCTACCTACCCGCCCGGAGACCAGTGGTCAATCTGCGGTTGGCACTTCACTTGGTAAGTTTTTAGAAACTGTATATAGCTAGACAGGTGATGAATGGGAAAGGTGTGGCTAACTGATATGCTGACGGGAGGTGGTGGTACACTATGGGAGAAACAGGATATACAAAAGAAAAGAAAAAAAAAGGGCCTCCTGATTATTTGTCTGTTCCTCCTTTCAGGAACTTGTGGTAAGGCAATGAGGTGAAATGGTGGAGACTGATAAAGGTGGTATTAGACCAGCTATTCACAACAAAGTAGGAGGGCAGGTAGGTATAAGAGAGGTTATTGCATTGATACCGGGCGAGTGTCTACCGGGGGCGAATATACATTCACTTTCCGAGACAACAACCACAAACTTTTAACAGCAGTATCTACCACTGGCTGATTCAAAGCCAAAGAATCTATCCAGTCATTCAAGATCCCTTATAACAAAGCATTGATAAAAAAATAAAAATAAAAACAGAACCTACTCACAGCTCTTCACATGCTTGTTTCCGCCATCTTCCAGTGAGGCGTTATTCTTCAGAGAGAGAGAGAGAGTCCCCTTTCCTATAATACACTTCTTCACAAATTATAGATATTGCCGTTTTTCGTTCCTTCTTTTCCCTTTTTTTTTTTTTTTTTTTACCACTGACGCCCGGCCCCCCCGCTTTTCCTTTTTTTCTTTTTTTCTTCCTCTTTATGATACCTTTCGCCCTATGATTCCTAGGTATAATTGTGTGTATTCTAGAGGTTTTTTTTCTCCTACAAAATTTCAGGCCACTGAAACGAGAGAGTTGCTATCATAAATTCCCCGAGTGACAAAAAATAATAATGAAGAATCCTATTGGAGGTGGTAAGATATTGACATTAAATTTTGTTTATGCTTGATTTATTTTTTCTTGTTCTCCCTTCCTTCCTTCCTTCTTTCTGCCCCTCCTATTTCTCCAAATTAGGGGTCCTTTATTGCAAATCTTGGTACAACCCATGCCAGATATCTACCATACATACCTTCATGTGAAAAAAAAAATTGGCGCTTAAGCTATACGACACTTCTCACTTTCCAAAAAAGTATCCATAATCCTAACAAAAATCAGATCAGGTCGGACAAAGAACCAGAACCGCAAGATCCTATCCCATCTCCACCCTTGTTCAAGGAAGCCCAGTTCATTCTAACTGACTAAACCCCAGATAGATGGATAGATAATCCCACCTACCTCCTATCATAGGACGACCAACCATCACACACCCATCCCGGCGTTTCCTACCCACACACCTATTGAGAACGTCATACAGAACACAAAGAATAGGTATGCCATCACAATCCCTCACTCGCTAAAACATCAACAACGAAAAAAAAAAAAATAAGTATAATCTTTGGAGAGGAGGGCAGGACACGACACAAAACAAAGCCATACCCGGTCAAGAATTGCATAACTATTACCGGTCGGACGGGGAGCAAGTGTGGGAAAAGAAAAAAAAAACTACTCATTTTGTCTTCCGTAAAGAGTTATAGTTTACATGCACGCCTTTCCATCTCGGTATTTGAAGACCCAAAAGATAAGATAAAGAAAGAGAAAAGACATACCACACAAGCATTAATCGAAAGAAAAAGAAAAGAGGTATAACAAGGCACCCCCGTCATAACAAACTAATCCTCCCCCTCAACCTCAACCTCACACCCCTGCGCGAAAAACATCTTGGCCTGAACGTCGTATGGATTTTCAATACTGTAAAGATTACCTATCACACACCCATTAGCTCAACTGCCTACCAAAAAGGGTATTATTATTTATTCTCCAAAATACCTCTTGGAACCATAAACTGCCCCCCACTCCTAACCCTAAACATGGTCTCACCAACTTGAACCTGAACCTTCCCCTGGAGCAGGTAAAACACGAGGTGCATCTTTCCGCTATTCTTTGTGCGTTTGATACCCCCGGGTGGTATCTCGATCATGCCCGTGCCGAAGAAGGGTTGCGTGCAAGTTTTCACAAAGGTAAAGTCGCCATTCGCCACCTCCACCGTTACGATCCTATTGCGGGAGAAGGCCAGCTCCGCTTCCTCCAGCTGCTCCGAGGAAGCGGGGGGTGGGAAGGGCTTGACATAGCCGCGGATCACACCGACTTCGCCGTCGGTGACTTGTGATTCCCAGGGCTCTTCCTCGAATTCTTCCTCCTCTGTGTCTTCTTGCTTTAGGGCGCGTTTGCGCTTGTTGCCAGCGGATTGGGCGGCTGCGGTGCGCTTCTTTCTACGCTCCCGATCACGGGCTTTTTCTTCTTCATCACTCTCTACGCGGATGATTTCGGCGATTTCGGGGAGCTTGATTGTGGATGCGGCGGCAGTGGTGGTGGAGGGGTCGGTCAGTGTGTAGACTACTTTCTCGCCCTTCCAGAATTCTAACGGCTTCATGCGGTGTCTTGTTGGTCGGCCGTTAGTGATGGAGTCCGGCTCTACCGAGGGGCGTTCGCGGATAACGCGTTGGCCGCGGGGGCGGGGCGCGGCGGTTTGGGAAGATGACGAGGCGGAGGGTTTAGCACCTGCTACAGTAGAAGTGGTAGCAAGTTCCGGAGAAATGTCCTGCCGCCGCCGAGAGGACTCGGCGGTAGCTTTCCTGACACCCGCGGCGACGCCGGCCTTCCCCTTGCCTTTTGAAACCGTTGTCGCCGCTGGCTTAGCAGTCCTTGGCGATTGGCGAAGTTTTTTACGCGCAGGTAGGGCAGCCTCGTCGTCGTATTCTCCCTTCTCTTCATCTTCTTCGTCGATCGTCCCGACCGGCGCTAGGGCGGGTGAGGACTCCGGAATTTCGCGCTCAGGTTTCGAGCGGGACTTTGTGGCGCCTCGAGCCCTTGTAGCGGGCTTCGCCTTGGACTTTTGGGAAGAGGACACTGGTTCAACCTCGACCTCGGGTTCATCGATTGGCAGCGCCTTGGCTTTGCCCTTGGCTCTCGAAGCTGCTCTGGACTTTGGTGGGGGAGGAGGGGTAGGATCACGCTCTTCCTCCGATTGTTCATCCTCGGCTTCATCCTCGTTGGGAGGCGTTGCGACCTTAGTCTTGCCCTTTACCTTAGCTTTAGAATTCGGTTTTGCCGATGATGATGCCGCCGAGTCCTCAGCGCCTTTGGCAGTAGAGTTAGCTTTGCCCTTCCCTTTGCCCTTCGCGACAGCTTTGGGCTTGGGCTTGGGCGCCGGGACAATTTCCTCCACCTCACTGTCATCGCGCTGGGGTTGGATGGCCTTAGAGGAAGCCTTTGCTTTAACCTTTGCGGTGGTTTTCTGTTTAGGTGCCTGAACCTCCTCTAGTTCTAGCTCCGACTCCGGCTCCTGAGCATGATCTTTAGCTTTCCCCTTTCCTTTTGGGGCAGCTTTGGGCTTAGGCGCTTGCACTTCTGGCTCTGAATCCGAAGAAATTTCTTCGACCTGAGGCTTAGCTTTACCCTTAACCTTTGCGGCGGCTTTTGTCCTGGATGCTCGGACTGGTTCCGGTTGAGAACCTGCTGCCACCAAAGCTTTACCCTTACCCCTAGTAACGACCTTTGCTTTGACTGGCTCAACCACTTCTTCTTCTCCAGACCCGGATTCCTCCGACTCCTCATCCTGAGCTTGTGCTCCGCCACCGGATTTGCCATTGACCTTCGCCTTAGGCTGGGTCTTCTTTGCCGGAGGAATGGGTTTCGCTTTCTTCTCTGGCAGTACTGCCTTTTTCTTAACCGGCCCCTTAACCTTACCCTTTCCCCCCTTGGCCGGCGCGACTTGTACGTCCCCTTCCCCATCAGACATGATCGTGTCCTCGTCCCCCAGCATCTGCGAGACTTCCTCCTCAATCGGATGTCTCTCCTCCTCCCGCTGTCCCAACTCCATAGTACTACCCAGACCATTACCAATTCCCCCATCACTCATCTCCACATCCCCGTCCTCATCATCCCCAGTATCTCCATCATCCTGTAACGAAAAGGTCTTCTTCCCCCCTCCAGCAACCAAAGCCGACTTCTTACCCTGCATCAACAACCCTCTCTTCTTCTTGACCATAGCAATCGGCGGTGTCCGCTGAGTACCCCGAACAGCAGTCTCTTCCTCAACGACCTTTGGCATGGCCTGTCTCTGCTTAGTCTTAGGCTTAGTACGCGCGACCTCAGGCTCCTTCTTCTTCTCAATAGCGGAGGAGGAGGATGAAGCCCTGTGCACTTCGTTCCCAGCAGGTGACATGGAAACATGCTTCGCCGGTTGACCCAGTAGGCGCGCGGGAGCCTCTTTGTCACCAGCAGTACCGCCACCACCAAAATCGAGTTTTCGATTTGCGGGACGATGCGGGGAGGGTTTGTCAGGGGAGCTGAAACCCACAGATGAGGCCCTTCGAGCGGGCGTGCCGAGATTGGTCTTTATAGGACTTCGTGCGCGGGGCGGGAGGGAAGTTAGCCTTCGGGCGGAGGGGGCTGAAGATGAAGGTGGTGGTGGGACGCTGCCTTTTTGGAGCGCAGGAAGGAATGGTTAGATAGCTCAAACTAAGCACAGAAGAAAAGAAATAAAATATGAAACAAAATAAAAACGGTTAAAACAGCGTGTCAGGAAGGAAGGAAAGAAGAGCTGAGAAAAAGCGAATTTTAATGTTTTTCTTTCCTTTAATCGCAATGTTTGCTTATTGCAGGCAAATATCAATGGGGGCAGTGTGAGTGAATGGGCGTATTTACTGGTAACAATCTCCATAGTTCCCGACGATATAGTCTTATTCCCCACCGCCGCCCCCGCCGTCCCTTCACCCTCACTCCTCTCTCGGCCTCCATTCGCCTTCCCCTTCGGCCCCGGGTGCACATTCGGCGGCGGCGGCGGCGGAGGATCAGGCGAGAAGAAAGCGTCCATATGCTCCATCCCGAAAGCATTCCTTTGACCAGTATCCTTAACCATGATTCCGGTTTTACTGCGCGAAGAAGGTAAAAAAAACAATCCATTAGCTTATCTCTTGCAAGAAACGCGAAACAATAATAACAAAAAAAAAGGACAAAGGGGTTGGGGGGGGGGAAAGGAAGAAAAACGCACCGACCCGCGACACCTATGTCTGTGAAGTTGGTTTCGCGCGCTTTACGCTGTGACGGGGACCCTGGGGCCATTGCGGTAGTGGGTGGCAGTGGTGATTTGTATTCCGGCGGTGTCTCGAAGTGAATAGAGTTGGTAGTGATGGTGCTATTCCAAGGAGTTGGTTAGTACGATAGTGGTGGTGGTGGTTGGTGGTGGAGGGGGGGGGGGAAAGAGAACCCTCCAGACAGAGACGGACAAGCAAGACAGAAACAACGGGTTTGAAGTGTTGACATAACCTATCCATGTCTTGGCAGAAGCGTTCCCCAATACCAAAACGCGTCTTCCCACAGCTCTCTTACAACCCAGCACTAGTCAACCCACCCCTCTTGCGCGAAGAGGAATAAAATAACGCGCCTTTTTTTCCATTGCAACATCTCAACGAGTAACTAGCATAATATATATACAACAATAACCACCCCACAATGGCAGAGGCAGATTCCCAACCACTACCAGAAGAACTCTCGGATGCGGACATCGGAGCCGCAGAGGAGGCTGCAAGGGAAGTTGCAAAGATACTCCCCTCGATAGACAATGCAAAGATACTCAGGGGGGAAACATACATCTACCACTCCCCAATCCCCAAATCCATTCAGGAAGACCCCGAAGGCGAGGTAATCCTCGGCGTAGACGAAGCCGGCCGTGGTCCGGTCCTGGGCCCAATGGTATACGCCGTAGCATACTGTCTAAAAAGCGACAGTCCCATGCTGCAAGAGCACAAATTCGATGGTTCCTCTTCCCCCCCCCCTCGCAGTCAAAACCAACCAACTAACCCGAACCCTCCCACAGACTCCAAAAAATTAACCCATACCTTCCGCACCAACCTCCTCCAAACCCTCACCACGCCGGACACAACCCTGCACCGCGACCTCGGCTGGTCCACCAACTCCCTCTCGCCCCGAGACATCTCCTCCGGCATGTTACGCTCAACCACCTCGTCGAGCACCTACAACCTAAACGCGCAAGCCTTTGACGCAACCACAACCCTAATCACGGCCGTCCTCGCCAGCGGCGTCAACGTTCGGGAAATCTACGTGGACACAGTCGGCCCCGCAACCACCTACCAGTCCAAACTGAAGAAGCTCTTCCCGAGCATCGCCATCACCGTTTCGAAGAAGGCGGACTCGATATACCCGATCGTGTCAGCGGCCAGCGTCTGCGCCAAAGTTACGCGCGACGCGGCGATTGGGGTGCTCATGCCGGAGGGCGAGGAGATTGGGAGCGGGTATCCGGGGGATGAGAAGACGAAGGGGTGGCTGAAGAGGGGGATGGAGCCGGTTTTTGGCTGGGAGGTTAGCATGGCGAGGTTTTCCTGGGCGACGGCGAAGGATATGCTTGAGGGTGGGGGGAAGAATAGTGGGGGGGGGAAGGGGGGTGGAGTTGAGGTGGTCTGGCCCGTGGAGGAGGATGACGGGGAGCAGACCCTTACTGGACTCTGGGGGGCCGCAGCCGGGGGGGAAGGGAGTCGCGGGGTGGTATGGGAGGAGTGTGCATGGGGAGTTTTAGCCGGGTACGGTGCCTATTGCCACCGCTATGCATCCCCCTCCCCTTTGCTTTGTGCTTGCAGGTGGGAAGGCATTTGAAGGCATAAATAGACAATCCATTATCTATCCCCCACAAAATGATCTCCGTGTGAATTGATGACTGCGGACGAGAAAAGAAGCTTGATTTTCTCACCACCAGCGCAGCAGTGGGCTTTTATGCTAACTAAACTATCAAGTGAAAGAAAAGAAATAACAAAAACCCGAGGTCGGTCGGTAACATGAGGACCTCGGAGGAAAGAATTTGACGAAACCTCGGTGAGGAAGAAAAACATATGAGAACCTCGGAATACCATAGTTGAATATGGCAT